TATAATATTTTATTTATGATTTTAAATTATTTACAAGGATTTATGGAAAACTAATAAATTTTAAGCCAAGATTTATACTCGTTGTGTACACATGTCGTAATGCACCGTAAATTATATTAATTGTTTAAACAATGAATTTCTATATATATTTGGAGTCCTGAAAATCATATATATTTGTTTCATACGAAACGATGTTTGCTTTTGGCGATGGGTTTTGAGTGTAAAGTGAAATCCGTTAACAAATATCACGTCAAACGTGTGTTTCTTGACTGCAATTCAGTGATAACTGTAAGAAATGAGTTGAAATTCGTGTGGCGTTTGGCTTTTGCCTCAAAATACTAATGTCTTATATTGTCGTCGAGTTTGAGGTGTGAAAGGGAAGTATGTTTTCGGGAGAGAGAGAGAGAGAGAGAGAGAGAGAGAAGAGAGAGCAGAAATGTTATGTTTATTTTTTATTGTAGATAACAAACAAACTTAACGTTTCGTTTAATAAATAAGAAATACGTGAGAAAATTGTAAAATAAAATTAATTTTCACACACAAAAAATAATTGATTTAAAAATTATTATTTTTTGTTGCTACATTAATAATTTTTGTTAAACCAATTATTTTTTGTGACAGGAATTTGACATAAAAAATGTTTTCGTGTTATATAATAAACAATATTTTCGTTTGATTTTCGCCGCGAATTTGCGAACATTTATACAGTATATAGAAAATAAAAATACAAAAATATATTTAACGTTTTAAAATATACGATAAATTTCTTAAACAATTCATGCAAAAAGCATTTTAGAAGCGAATAAATAAATAAATATATAAATTATTCTTATATTTCAAATTCAAATATAATATTTCATTTTATCGAAAATCTAGTATACTTTATATATATTTTTGCTAACGATTATTGAGTTATTCTGTTGGAGTTTTTTATAGCAAAAAAAAGTAGACTTCCAGTCAAGAAGTATAGTTGACTTTTCAATCACTTTTACAGTTACATTACGATTGAATATAATTCCACCAAAAATACATATTCGCTGTAAAAGTATGTGTGAGAGATAGTGGTTGTGGAGGGGAAAGGGAGTCAACTGATAGACCAGTCGAGAGAATGGTAGCGAATTGTATGTGAAAAGGAGTACAAAGTGGAGTGAATTTTCAAGTTTTCTCTGTGATTGTGAGGACGCACTCAACTGTTTCGCCCAACATTTCGCTATAAACTTGAGAGCAGTGTCTGTGAGAGAGATGGAGAGAGAGAGAGAGAGAGAGAGAGAGAGTGAGAGAAAAGATGAGAATATTTTTACTTTTTTGATCCCTTTCTATATATCTTATTCTTTGGGCTTTAAGTTTCGATTCGCTTCAGCGAAGAATCCATTGGCTAATCAATAATATGGAGAATATATATAGATATATAATATATACGTATATATGTGTGGAAATTCTTGTTGTGTCGGATAGTGAGGATGTGATAGTGAGAGGACAGACAGTGGATGAGAGAGAGAGAGAGAGAGAGAGAGAGAGACTGTCTGAATGTCATTTCAAATAACCAAATGGAAAAGTAAAGTACACTATAAACTAGAGTGAATACATTTATTATCTATTGTGTACACTATCGATGGCAACACAATTGTGAAACTTTGTATACATTATATTTATATTTCAATCTCCCAGTGCTTTCTGTTCCCTATTCTTGTGTCATAGAAATACAAAAGACTTTTATTCTTATATTATTTCCAATCAATAATTTTTATATTCTTTATACAAAAAGTTATTTTTCATAACTATAACTCTACCCCATAATAAAATATCTCTCATATTTCTAATCTATGCTCTCTCCCTCCCTCCCTCTCTCTCTCTCTCTCTCTCTCTCTCTCTCATCTCTAACTGTATACAGAAAATTACAGTATTAAAAAATATATAAATTATTTAATCATTTATTAGAGTATGAAAAATGTCTCTCAATAGACATCTCGAGTCAATTACCGACTTAAACTAAATATCAATATATTTTTTTATGTGCACAACTTTATTACACTTTTACAATATATTGTATTCGTGTGTGTAGTAAGTGTACTAGTATATATAAAATATTAAGACTTTTCAATACCCGTTGCCCTTATTATTTTTCTCGTCGGAAACTAACTTTTTTAGTGCCAATCAATTATAGTTTAAATTTTATTATTTTTTCCTTACAGTGAAAGAAAATATTATTGAATTTTTTTGTTCGTTGAGTGAATGGGAAAAAACACAAAAATCTAATTCAACTCATTTCGCGGATAAAATAATATTAAAAATATAAAATTAGAGCCAAAAATACAATAAATGAAAACTATTTTAGGGGTTAAATAAATAATATTAAATTTTCATTAAATGAAATGTTAGAGTTTCACTTTCCATTTACGAGTTTAATTAATTAAAAATTTTAAAAATGCAAACTATTATGTTTTTACAGCCTAATTAAAAGCGCGTATACTATTTTGCGAGTGTTATGTTTGATTTATTAGGGAGACAAATTAAATATTAAAACTATTTAATGCTTTCATTTGTAATTAATTAATGGAAATAAAGTGAAAAGTAGTAATGCCTTGAAAAATACATTATAAAACGTATAATACCGGTGCTTAACGTGTATGTGCACAGCATTTGGTGGCCAAAGGGTTGTGTTTTGGAGACTTGAATGGTTGAGTGAATTGAAAAATTCTTGTTATCATAAATTAATTTGTTTTACAGTACAGTGTGACTGGTATTTACGGACTATAAATGAATTCAACGGTTCAATGGGCGCTCAGATGAGAATTAAGCGCTAAATATGTTGTGTATATTAGACACAAAAAATTATTTATATAATAGTATTTTGTTAGCGAAAGTTTGCCAGGACTTGTTGTTTGTTTGTTTGTGTGTGTGTGTGTGTGTGTGTGTGTGTGTGTGTGTGTGTGGCACAATTCAATGTGTTTAATCAAATTTAACTAATAAAATATATTGTATTTCAAAAAGTTTTATTTAAGTACTGTATTATAAATATTAGATTTATAAGATGAAAAGTATTGCCCCGAAAATGGTATTATCGATTTTGAAAATTTCAATTTGCTCTCAATTTAAAAGCTTATAATGAGATTAGGAGTGCTTTTTTATGCAACAAAAAGGCAAACTCCGGAGTTTTAAACTCCAAATTCTGGTGCACTCTCCCTATCAGCGATTCGCTTGAATTTGCACACAAAAGACCCCCTATTTTCTAATGCTAATAATAATAATAACTTTTTATTTATATGCTTTTTGTTTGCGATAATAGCTAAAGCCATAAACAATACTGTATTATTCAGAATATTCTGCATTCTGTAAATGCATCACAATCTCTGTAAGGTATTTATGAATAAAACTTTTGAGAGGGAAAGGGAATTGTTTTTAGTCAAACATACAAATATTATAGTTATGTACCGGTATAAATAATTCCCCTTGCAATACAATTCTCAATGCAATTATTAATCTTAGTTTTCTCTTTTTCATAAATAGCTTATGTTTTCCTTACGTATTGAGAGAAAAACAGTACAAAGTATATGATTTTGTACTTTGTTTTTGTTTCGCATATCAGCATAAAACTCATCATTTTATTTTGAAACTTTTCTCGTTTTCTCGAAACAAATACTTAATTTTGTATTTCTTTTTTATATATTTCATAATATTCTCTCCTTTTCTTATTTATTTTGTTGAAAAGTTTATAACATTTTAAAATTTTCTGATAAATTGAATGCAGATTTTCACGGATCTCTCTCTCTCTCTCTCTCTCCATATTTTGTTGTGAAACTTATATATTAATGTTTTATATAAAAAATTACTTAAAATAAACATTTCTGCAAAATTGAATTCTTGAATACTGTGTTGTGTTTCGCAACTAAAACACTGAATAATAATTTGTTTTCCCATATTTTTTTTGCACAGTTATGATAGCTTAACAAAAAGCAATTTACTTATGATTACGTGTTTTTGTAAATTAGATATGTTTTCTTATTTTAGATATATGGATAAATTTAATTAAATTTTATATACTTTAAAACTTTGCGATTACAGCATATGATAGCAAAATGTTATCCATTTTTGTGCCCCTAACTAGATATACAGTTTTTTGCACAATATTTTGATTGATTGCCATTTTGTGATTTTAATATAAAATTTTTGTATTAAATTTATTTATTTTCTTCAAAAAATATATTAGACATTCATTTATTATTTTCTTTCTATAAATATTTGATATATTCTGATAATATATTTATAGTTAAAAATAGCTTTGAATTTTCGATTAAAATTTGGTTTATATGTAAAAATTAGAAAACCTCTAACAATAACACTTAAAATGCTTTAATCTAGTATTTTATTACCAAAATAAATAATTTAAGACATATTTATTTCATATTCTACAATAGACAACTTAACCTAGTTTCAAATACTGTGCATTCAAGTACTGTTCAAATCAATATGAAACATTAAAACTGTTTCAATAATAAACACATATTTATAAACAGAAAACATACAAATCAATTCTTGAATTAAATACTAAATTCTTTAAATTAAAAATAACATAAAATTCTATCGAAATATACATTCAATAAACGGATTCTGTATTGAATTCTATAGGAAAGCCGATTCCATCGCTAGTATGGATGAGAAGAGGGGTCATCATTGACGACACATCGGTGATCGTATCGGAGGGGTCGACCACTTTCGTGCGTAACGAGTTGGTGTTGCCTAAATTGGCCAGGGAGCATCTCCTCATGGAGTTGGTGTGTCAGGCCAGTCAGCCCAGTCAGCCCCACACAGACTCCGCGGCCAATAATACCACTAACAAAGCCGTCGTTAAATTAGAGCTCAACTGTAAGTCATTATAATTGACTAACGAATCGACGACTGACACGAAAAAAGACTTCAAAACCCTTACCATAAACATTGCGCTCAAATTGCTTACCCTTGGAAAGGGATTACGAGTTTAATCAATGAATTAATTGTTTGCCATGTATTATAAATGTGGCGTTAAACTAGGTTATAGTCGACACAAATCCACCTAATTTTGACATGAGATCCAATTTAGTGACACAATTAGTTCATTAATTAAATTATATATTTACAAAATTGAATTTTACGCTGTAATAACTTTTTATGAACATGGTAGTAAATGTTTATTAATGTTTATTTCATCAACAGTAAAGCCATTGGATGTGACAATAATCAGTGCAAACAAACCGCTGTCGGCGGGCATTAGGGCTGAGATCAGGTGCCGGTCCAGTGGCTCGAGACCCGCGCCCCAGATATCCTGGTTTAAGGGCTCGAAGAAGATGCCAGAAGTGAGGGACAGCGCGTCCAACGACGGGAACGCCACCATCAGTACGCTGTCGTTCATACCGGCCATTGAGGACAATGGCAAACATCTGTCGTGTCGCGCAGATAATGAACAAATGGCTAACGACGAGATCGAGTCCGGCCGGATATTAACCATTTATTGTATGATACATTATATTTCTCACTCACCCACACGTCTCTCTCTCTCTCGTCTATACTTTTATCGCCGTTTCATTCTCGCCCTCCCTTTCACGCCATTTATTATTATAGCCTTTTATTTTGTGACTTATTTTTATTATAACTTATATATTGTTTTTTCTCTCTCTTTCACTGTCTCCCGATTCTTGTGTCGTTATTCTCTCACTTTTATCACAGTTTTTGATGCAATAAATATACTAATCATTCATTTATATACCGCTTTTCATGCGATACCCTCACAGCCTTTAACGCCTATTATATTCCCCTCGCAAACGGATTATTATTATTATTATTATTACAATTATTATATCAAATATATAATAAATGTATGTTTTATGTAAAAACTTTGTTTTTTGATTACATTTTGTTGCTTATTAAATAAGAAGTTTTTAGAGTGATTTTATTTCACACGTAATTCAAAACCTTTTTACAATCATTAAATTTTTTTCAGCTTTTTTCTCGCTTAAATACTAAAATATTTTCGCAACACTTGTTTAAGACTATTATACTGAACTGAATTTTGTTTTCCTAAAAATACCACTCTTTCGATGATTAGATAAAATCGCGTTAAATATAGTGAATGTTTTGTACGTTTATGGCAGAAGTCGGTTATGAATGAGATTTAATGCCAGAATAATACTTCACTGTTATTACTCGTATTAAAGACCATTACTGTTATAATTAAAAGGAAACTCAATGTAACACTAAATTTATTGCCCAATATTTGCTGTCAGATGTGCCTCAACTGACTCTAGCACTGGGAGCCAACATTGGGAACCAAATACGGGAGGGAAGTGACGTCTACTTCGAGTGCACGATAGTGGCCAACCCGTGGGTCATAGACGTGGGCTGGCTGTTCGAGGGCCGACCCCTGTTCAGCGACACGTCCAACGGGATTATAGTCAGCAATCAGTCGCTGGTACTACAGAAAGTGAGACGAGAGCACAGGGGTCGGTACCAGTGCTCGGCCACCAACATCGAGGGGTCGGCCACTAGTAATAAGGAGTTCCTTAAAGTGAACTGTAAGTCGCTGTCAAACAATAACAAGAATTTCCTATTTTCTAACACAGAATATTCTGTACTATTTGTTCGCACTCCAGTCGCACCGGTATGCCGACCGGGACAGACCATCATCTACGGCGTGGCCCGCAATGAGCGGGTGAACATCACGTGCGATGTGGACGCCGAGCCCAACACCGACATGACGTTCCGGTGGCTGTTCAACAACTCGGTGGACGCCTGGGAGCTGCGGTCGTTCGCCAACAACGGCTCCCAATCGGTGGCCCCGTATGTGCCTCAGAGTCGCAACCATTACGGAACGGTATTGTGTTGGGCGCACAACACGATCGGCAAACAAAAAGAGCCCTGCGCTTTCAGCATTGTGGCAGCTGGTAAGGCATATATTGCATTTATATGTACTTACCATTTCGCTCATTTACTCCCTTAAACCTACCAGTGCTCTCGGGGGTCACCACAAAGAATTTTGCGTATGAATGGGGCCATAGGAGTGATAAATAGATATTTTTTGGATAATTAGACAAAATCTAAATCATTAGCAAAATTATTCACTTTTGTTTTCGGTTTTGTTTTATTGTTTTTTTCGTATCCATTAGTATAGTTCCAGGCTAATGGTTTGTTTAGTGAATGTAATTTCCATGTTATGCATTCAATTCGTGGTGACCCCTGGCCTCGCAAATTTAACTGCATATATGGTATTATACTATATCTATATCTTTCGACTCCAGTCTAATAGCAATGGCACTACTTTAGAGCTCAAATAAGTTGATTAATTTGCTATTTGTTTCACATATCAAAGCGTGAATTTAATGGTAAACTTTAAGAGCAAAGTTAGCCAACACTTCATACCATGTTGTGCTCACTTCACATACGATTTAATGTGTTATGTTTAGCCACACTATTATTGACCAAAAATATTATATAATATTTGTGTTTATTATTATTTTGAATGCATTTTCATACTCTCTCTCTCTCTCTCTCTCTCTCTCTCTCTCTCTAGAGCACAACATGGTATGAAGTGTTGGCTAACTTTGCTCTTAAAGTTTACCATTAAATTCACGCTTTGATATGTGAAACAAATAGCAAATTAATCAACTTATTTGAGCTCTCTCTCTCTCTCTCTCTCATCTAATGATTAACTCGTATAATAAGCTATTTATTCATAAATTTATTCAAATTAATATGATTTTTATGCCTTCCCATTTTATTTTTCATTTTTAATTATGGACTCAAAAGTTTTATTAGCACTTATTGTTGCCGTATTATTTGTCGGGTGTTTCGCACTGCAATTAACTGCAAACAGTCATTCATTTAAAATTAGATTAATTTAAATGAAAAAATATGTATATTTTATATACAAAAGTGTACAGAATTTTAAGCATTATATCGATTGACTTTTGTCTACGGCTATGCAAGACGATATTTACATTTTTCAGTCTAATATTTTGACACTTTTTGGTTATAGATTAATTGAATAGTGCTTTTTATTTTTTCAAGTAGTCGTTAAGAATATAATTATGTATAAAACTTTTTTTGTTTGATAGCTTTTTTTGTTCAGTTATAATATATTGTGTTTGTATTATAATGAAGAAAAACTATTTATATTATGAACTCCACTTGTCTGGAGTGTAGGAGCCGTTCATATAAAAATTCATTAGAAATTATAAATACAGTAATCATTAATAAATTTCTGGTAGCAAACAAGTCAGACATATACAGACTTTCTCTAGTATTTTGTACCGGAAAAACAAAATATTTTAATTTAGTTGATTGCAGTGACAAATCATTTATGATTAATGTGTGTCTACTTTACTTTTTATTAGTATTTAATACGTTTTTCGTCTAATTGTATAACATATTAGTGAGTGAAAAGAGTTTTTACTTTCACTTTCATACATATCACTCGCGTATGTATTTTGTTGTATAATCTATTTATCCAATTACACCACGGATTGCATTATACATGTTAGCTATGAATACAAACAAAAGTTGATTTAATTTTTCCATAAAAATTTATCATCAAATTTGGTGTTTATGTAGAAATTTATATCCATATGAATGGCGCAAAGCATTAGATATTACACACAAAAGGATTGAAGACAAAGAGCAAAGAGTAGAGAGAAATCATTTAAAATGAATACTTATTTTTGTGATGAAAATTGATTACGAGATATGCTATGCGAACCAAAAGCGAATCATCAGATTTACAAATAAGACATTTGTTTGTATAAGCAGTTTCACCATTCAATTCAATTGACAGTCGATGTGATATAATGCTAAGCAAATAGTGAATAACGACATCGAGACTCAGACCTCTTATATTATATACTAATATAAAAACATACGATAGCACAGAGAAATATCTTATTTATTTTATATTTAACTGATATTTTGTGCTTAAATTCGCAATCGACTGAATCGATGCCCGAAGAATCAAATTGAAAGTAATATAACAGTAGTGTATATACAGTATATAGTGGGCGATAGAGATGATCGACATTACATAAGAATATTCTTTATGGATAACAACCAAATATAAGCACAGAATTGAGTGCAGAATTGATAATAGAATTGATTGTCAATCAAATGAGAGCCCAAACAAAACTGGGGGCCAAAACGTGTCAGCGCTTACGCTGCCGACCCCCTACCCATCACTGGCTTTCCGTATGATTTATACGATATAAGTCTTACGTGTAGTGTATTTGTTGTCTCCGACGAGTGAATAACGCTATGATTGTTTGGCTTTGAGGCGAAAAAATACTACTCTCTCCTCCATTTGACAGGTCCTCCAAATCCAGTTAATGACTGTTATGTAACAAATGTCACTCTGACCGCACTGTTACTGCACTGCGCGCCGGGAGATAACGGAGGCCTACGGCAGACGTTTCACCTGCAGGTCTACAACAACGACAAACTCCAACTGCACACCAATTTGACGGCCTTTGAGACGCCTGTCTTTCACATCAAAGACCTGCCGCCGGCCACCGATTTCACGCTCAATATCTACGCGTCCAATGCGAAGGGAAAGTCCGACTCCATCGCCATCAACGCCCAGACCACTCATCTGCCCGAAAGGCACGCGAGAAAAGGTGGCGTAAAGTTGTTTCGATCGCTATTTTACTTATATTATTGCTATAGAATTGCAGAATATTCTGTGTTTGTGTGCCGTTATTATGATGGCTATTATTGTATGCGTATTGTGTTTATATCTGCAAAACAAATAGATATTATGTGTGTTTGAAAAATGACAGATAAATACAATGAATACACAGAATATTCTGTATTGCCATTTGTTTTGAAAAGGGTTTGTTTCGTATATTTGTTTGAAATGATTGTCATAAATATATTTTTTTGCTTTTATTTATACAATATAGCCATCAATTGTAATGATGGCTAAGAGCTTACACATACATAGCATATAATATATATATATCTGGACACATGATGGTCGTCCACGTAATCCATGTCCAATACTTGAAAGTTATTGGCAAATACTCAGTACAATATATTTATTATTATTATTTATATCTTTTTGACTCAAAAACAAAATTGACATAAACTTATTGATTAAAACTTATTTTTAATAACAGAATATTGTTATGCCTATGATTGGCATCCAGTGTCTAGTATTCAGTAGTTTTTGTCATAAAATACTTGTCGACAACCTAAACGATATAAAAATTTTTGTTTTTGAAAACTACATCACTAGCTTTACAACAAATATTTTTCAATTTATATTTCGCACACAAATATTAGTCTGGAGAAGATTTTTAATTAAAAGTTTGCCCGTAAAAATCCAATGCCCTAATTTACGACATACTACTATCGGTTTCATTAAAATTTCACAAAAATTACTTTTTAATTTTCTATGCAAAATGTTTTCCACATTTTTTATGCCACTCTTATCAGTCCTGATGAGCGAAATAAAGCCATTACTTTATCGATGAAATAATAGGTCAGTAGTCAGTCGGCGAGAGATAATTAATAATAATTTGAGAGCCAATTAAATTACAGTATAGCTTGAAAATTTGCCAGTCATTATTTATACTTATCTATTAATTACTGACATTTAGAGTTAAGAGTGAGTTTTAAATGAATTGTTACTTATATAAAGCTAACGATAAGAGCGAAAACACTTAAATTCAAAATCGCCTCTAATTTGTAATTTAAATCCTATTTAATCCTTAAGAGTCTCCACTAATATATCGCATCCAATGGATACACATAAGTCTCGTTTGAATTACAAGACTTTTCGCTAAGAGTTTAAAACTAATTATTCATTAAAAAGTTTATTTCAAATTCAATACTCGAAACCGATTCACGGATTCAGTTCCCGGCTAACTGTAAGGGCTCATTGAGAATCAAGTCGTTTGAAAGTAATGGGAACGACATCTATAAACATGTTGTAGAGCCTAATGAGACGTTTCGCTATAGCATTGAATATATTTAGTATTCTTCAAAGACTTTCGGTTTTATTCTTTGTCTGTCTCTTACTCTTGGGTTTCGGAGGCATTAAAGCATTCAAACGAAACAAAAATTAAATGTTTCTATCGTTTAATTATAGTTTTTTCTTTACTCCCCAACCCTATCACCCATACAGACGGCTCTAATGACGTCCCAATCAGTCCAATAATCGGTGTCCTCATCGGCATTATAGCATCGCTTGTAATCATTTGTATAATTACTGTATTTATCATTAGATGTAAAGTCAATAGACATCAGTATAAAGGTATGGAAAATATAATTTTTAAACAAATTTTTCTCTCTATAGTAAACACACATATAATAATAAATCGATTAGTGAGTAATGAAACCCTGTTTATGAGACAAGAATATTCTGTAGTATTGATTTTTAAAAGTTACATATTCTATATTACTCAACATTCAAAACATTGTGTTTAAATTTGATACATAATTTATACATAAATATAGTAATAGTGAAGCAAAATTGCTTAAATAATTTTTTAGTTAACTGTAAGTTTAAATATTTTATTAAAATTCATAACTCCATAAATTCATAATAACGGTTAAGAGAATTTAAAATTATAATTCACAAAAATTCTCATTAGATTTTGAAGTCATTATTATATGAGTGTTCAGCACATGGAGAGAAAAGTGCGAAAAAATTAATTATATTTTTATGCAAATAATTGATTAAAATATTTTCTTATACTTTTCTCTGCGTTCATAACGACTGGAAAACTACAGACGAAACAGAACTCAATGCAAAGTAAGTCAGAGATAAGATAATAGACACACAAAAAATTTAACGAATAAATATATATACAATAAAATAAAATAAAGTTTTGTGTTTCGCTGTCAATGAGGAGTCGGCAGTTAATGTGATATTTTTGTTTTTAAATCGCGTTTGATTTGAACAGATATGTGACAACTCAGGAGCCAAAAGAAAAAGATAATTCAAGTCATATGAACCTAATATACGACAAGTCAGACACTTTCGGTTAGTTTTTCGGTTGCCGTCCCAACAGTCCTGACATCGCGCTGACAGGACTTAACGAACAGTAAATGACACTAAAATGTTGTGTTTGTCTCTCTCTCTCTCTCTCCCCATCCCTATCCCTCTCTACCCTCGCAATCCCTGTGCCCTATTGTCTGCTAATATAGGCTTTACAGACATTACATTGGATGGTAAGTACGCCAACAGTACTGCAGATAATGAGATCTCCAATACATGTCAACTGTTAGCCGATCATCAGTCGTCCGGATATATTCCCTCCGTTTTCTATAAGGTTAGACACAATCGTCTATTACTTTCACCCTTAAAATCCACTCTCAGAAACAGATCTCAAACAATATCATTCACTGTCTTTAAGACTAGTGTCCAATAAAATGAATACAATATATATATATTCCTGTATTATATAAATGATTGTCGTTTTTGGGGATCAATTACTACTCCAACTCTTGTGACCCACACTATCGTAACCCTTCGCTCTATTCCAATACAAATGAGAAGTATTTTTGTTTTTCTCAATGATATGTCGGAAACTAAGTATTCAACGCCAGTTAGAATTCCGAATTAGACAATATCTGAAGGAGTGTTAGTCACGGAGTGATAACCTAAAATATAACAAAAAACCACAGGCAGAGAGCTCAGATCTGTAGATATATCTAATTAAGTGCAAAGCCTTTCAAATTGATTTGTCTTTCCATCAATCAATTGCATATAACCGTAACATATATTTTTGTGTTTTGACGTTAATTACATAAATTTTGTTTTAAAGTCCATTAGTTCATAGTTTGGAAATCATTGCACTCTAGACTACACGTCAAACTTGTATCTCATATCTGAAAATAGCGTTCAATTCAAAAACAATTGTTTATTCAAATTGTATTCAGAGGACAGTTGGATAACACCCAAACCCAAAGTGCATTTAAATAATAATAATATTAACTTTAATTGTGGAAATCCTTGTTGTGCTCATACAGTAAAGGGCGTCAGACTATGAGTTAAATATTAATAACAATACAAACGCTACGAAAAATCAATGAACTATTTATTAGACTTTGATTCATAAGTTGCGGTCAATCTTAAGGCTTAATCTGTTATAGACTTCCTCACAATCAGTGCCTCACTATTGGATTTTATATTGTTTTTTGGTGTCCGTCTCTCGAGTCTAGACATCTATATATTAATTAAGTGTAAAGCCTTTCAAATTGATTTGTCTTTCCATCAATCAATTGCATATAACTGTAACATATATTTTTGTGTTTTGACGTTAATTACATAAATTTTGTTTTAAAGTCCATTAGTTCATAGTTTGGAAATCATTGCACTCTAGACTACATGTCAAACTTGTATCTCATATCTGAAAATAGCGTTCAATTCAAAAACAATTGTTTATTCAAATTGTATTCAGAGGACAGTTGGATAACACCCAAACCCAAAGTGCATTTAAATAATAATAATAATATTAACTTTAATTGTGGAAATCCTTGTTGTGCTCATACAGTAAAGGGCGTCAGACTATGAGTTAAATATTAATAACAATACAAACGCTACGAAAAATCAATGAACTATTTATTAGCGCACAGAGAATAGCATCAAGTTTTAAGGGTTTATGTCATACATTAAATAATTAATCCCTTTCCCAACTCATAAGCCCTCCCACGTATAAAACACTGTATAATTATATACGACCGTAATGATGGGGATTTAAAGGCAGTAATTAATTTAATATAAAAATTATATTTGTACATATTATTAAAAGGGAAGTTTTGGGAAAACTATTTTTAGCCAAACTTTAGTCAATAGGAAGTTTGGTTATGTGTGGGGATAGGGAGGGCTGTTAGATAAAAGCCAGAGATTCTGTTTGCTGTGGTATTAATAATTAAGGTTTGCCTCCAATTAGCACTAATACGAGCGGTGTTTGTGTCACTCATTAGAGTCGGGGTCCGGACGTGACGTACGCCGAGCTGTCAATCGTGTGTCCGATTGTCTCGCAAAACAACGAGCGACTGATGGCCTGCCGATCGCAACACCAATTAGTGGGTCCGCAATGCACTCAATACGCGCTCATCGACGCCGACGCCACTCTCAACGCCCAGACGACTGTCCGCTGCAGTCCGTCCATCAGTTCCCATCACTCCATACCTGACGGCTGCTCCGAATCGGAGGTCACTTTAGAGACACCACTCGTGAATAGCGTCAGACATAAGTTCTACACGCATGAGGTATGCCTCACCATACCGTACCAAATGCCATACCATCTGTAGGTTTGCCACCAATGCACTCGCACTACCTTACGCTCTCGTATTTCAATCACTCTAATTGTGTATCAAATAAATAATTTTTATGTTTTATGTCTATATTTAGGCCTCAAATCCTGACAGAAGCGCCACTCATGTCTAATCAAATGGGAAGTGGATGTGAACCATAAGAAGCGCATTAATACATGACATCCACTGCGGGCACAGAAAACACAACAATAAAAATCATAATCACATAATCATTGCAAACAAATACTGTATATTGCTCGCAGAATATTCTGTATTCAATTGTCAAAACACACACCAAATATGTGTTTCTTTACGTTTGAGATTCAAGTTTCTACACAAATATAATGAGAAATATATTTGTTTTGACGCTTTTCGACACCGAGATTAGCGCCGGGATCTGTTTAGATATGAAAAGGCATTCATATTTCAAAAATAAATATCAAATTCACGATTATATCACAAGAATTGTTCGCAAATTCTGGACGAATATTACGAAAACTATTCAATATTTTCGACAAACGATGCGTTAAAATAAATACAATAAGAATATTGTGTATAATATTCTGTATATAATTATCATAAATATTAGTATTATTATTATTACCATTGAATATAAATATAATATTACAGAATATTCTGTATATATTATATTATGATTTTGTTTCTGTGATATTCTTATCTATGAAATCAATCTAATCATAAACTGTGATATTTTTTCGATACTATATACGATTATTAAAATTATTATTATTATTATTATTATTAAATTCATAATATTTAAGTCCAAAAATATTTATTGATTCAAAATATTATGTAAAACCTATTGATTTCGCTTTTCTTTGTATATTTTCAATTGATAATAAAATAACTTTTAATGCTATTAATAATATTTGCTTCAATTCATTTTTTATTATAAACTATTTGATAAATAAGTACGAAATGTAAGTTAGGCAGGTTAAACCAATACATATAATTGCAAATTATACCTAGTAGAGTATAATTTTGTTAAATAATTACATTCTAATTCATTGAATACTAATAACAATGTTAATGTAGTGATTGCGAGTAAACAATTTTAATTTCAAATGATTGCATTTAAATTTAAGTTTTAAGTAAATTGTTATTTTAAACGGATTTTGACTTCAATTAAATTCAATCCACAAAACAGTGTTTCACTTCCAAAACCCAATCATAAGAGTCTATTCTTGAGTCCAAACGATGTCCAACTCTATGAACAGGAGGTCTTTCGACACCAGAATATGTGACGATTTGTGTGAAGTATTGCTGTCTTACGAGACATTCACCGATCGATTCCGTCACCAATCAGTCTCTCAACAGTTCCAGAGATTGGTTTACAATACTGTCAGAGATATCACTATTGATAGACAACTCATAAAGAGAATGACTGAACGGAACCAATTGGGCGAAGAGTACATCGACACCAATCGTATGGCAATTATGATGAGAAAGTGTCCAAACATTGAGACCATTGACTGCTCCCGTAGTAACTATGATAAGTGTAAACAAATGATGAAAGCCATCCATGAGTGGAGAGTCTATTGTCCGGTCATTAAGGAATTACATCTTTATAGTCTCTCATCTAATCATGAGTTTAATGAATACTTGTATCCAAAGTTTGGTCAAATTCTCACTCATGTGGATAGGATTTTCTCCCCTTCCAAACGATATCTCATTTATTATCCAAATATTTCTCATCTCTCTGTCGATCATATATGGGATGTCTTTGGGTCTGAAAACCAATTACTGGTCAAAAATTTAAAGTCCATTGCATTTACGATAACTTTTGAATTCAATGCCTCAATGTTTGACACATTCATAGCCGCCAATAAGTCACTCAGACATCTTTTCGTCGCTATTCCTCCGAATCCTGAATCCAAAGACACTGTCATTCAGTTCTTGAAACAATTGACTCGATTTAAGCAATTAATTGAATTGAGTTTAAGTACACTTTGGATGGAAAACAAAGTATTCACGTATTCACTGTACGAGTCGTTCAAAGAAATAGGTATAAAGTGTGTGTCGATCAAGAAGTTGTCACTCAGTCTGACCACAAACCACCCGACACTCAATGACCAGATTATGGATTCAATACAACATTTCCGGGGATTAAAACGTCTGGAATTGAATCTCAGTGATAGTTGGTATTCCATCAACAACTTCATTGATTGGGATTCATTTGAGGCAATGCGTCGATGGTCACAAACCATCTCTCATTTGACACTTGAATTGCATTCAATGAATAGCCAATTGATTGGTCAAATCCAGACAATTCTACCGAACCTACAGTTTTTCGACATCAGAGACCCATTTGTGGCTAAAAATGGCATTTGTTTGGACCGGTTCTCAAGACTACCATTCCTTCAGACACTGCTTATCAACAGTGACTTCAGACACAGTGGTGAAGCTGATGTCCATCTGTACGATTTGATAGCATTATTCCGGAAGTGCCCTAAACTCAAGCGTATTGGCAGTAAATTAAGTATTATTTAGTAACTTATGGATCAGTTTCAGACATTTGTTTGAAATTAAATACACTTAATGTTTGAAACAATTATCGCAACTACAGTATTATTAATACCTGGGGTAAATATACTGTTTGTCAATAAATTTGAGTCAATAACAAGTGAACACCAATTCAATGCTTCAATTATTTTTTTAATCTAAAATTAAATTAATTTGAAAGAACATAATATTCAGTATAATTTTATAACTTTTTTTGTAGTTTTTCTAATGCAATGCAAATGAGAAGTGAATAGCAATTAGAATATATAGACTAAAGTGTTTTGTAATCATATAATAATAAAAGGAAATAAAAACATAAATTGAGAGAAAATGACAATTTGTTTCTATAAATTAAGTCAAATATAATATAATATATAATAGAATTTGAGAGCAAAAAAGGAAATTACAAATTAGTTATTAATCATAAAAACAACAAAATTCATAAATTAGATCAAAATTAAGGGACAAACTCTCGATACGCTTATTATCGCGTCCCGGGAGGTAGTCATCAAAAAACATCACAAAAAACTTCATTTTATAAATAATATAAACTTTAGGATATATTTGAACCAAAGGTTTGACAACAAAATCAACACTTTATCGTAACATTCAATTTTGTGCTCAAAGTATTATAGAAATTAATTGAAAGTCTAATTTGAAACGTTAATTAATTTGATAAAAATGCGAAATAATTTATGAATCTATATATAAACAAATGGTGTGTTTCTAATGGTCCCGAAAATAGTACAGAAAGTGAGAGATAGAGAAAAAGCAAAGGAAATAATGTGAGAAATAAGTGTTAAATATGTTATAATATGTATATATATAATAAAAGAGTTCATTAATACAAGTGTTAATACATTGAAAACGAATTCTACAGCTTATGGTTTAGTTTAGTATCTTTTGTTTCACTTTTTTTTGAAAATCCATATAAATTTCTCTTATATTTTTGACAATAATAATAAAATGTGTTTTTCATTTGATAAATACAATGCGAATCACAAATATATGACAAATACGTTCAAATATACATATGTATATATATATTTGTATATATACTGTATATATATAATTATTTATATATTTATAGTATATTTATAAAACAGTAATACCAATCATAAAACCTATACATTATAACTAACTAGTAAGCGATCGATTTTTTGTTAAATATCTTATATATTTTCAATTCAATGTGTGATTTCATAGAGTCTTTGAATATATAAATTTGATGTCAACTATAGTACAAATAATTAAAAAAAAGGAGAAAATATTTGACAAATAATTAAGAAGTAGTTTTGCTTTTGTATTTTCACGGCGTGTTTATAAACATATGAAATGTATGGACCCCTCGGAGAGAAAGAGTTCGCGAATAAAACTTTTATAAATATTTTTGTGTCGATTTCGTTAAATAATAAATATTTGTTTCACTATTTTTTGTAATTAATAAAAATTCATTTGCACTTAAATGTTATGCTAATCATTTAAATAATAAAAACTCATATATAATCTGTTCACTTAAATAGACAAAATAAGGACTACTAATAAAAAACAATAATTAAATTAATTATAAAAACTTTGCATTTGTTTTGTACAATCATTTTTGACAAAATTACAGACAAAGTCCTGTCAAATACCGGTCCGAATTAAATTAAATATAAAATCAAATCTAAAAACTATAGGGCATTAGAGGAGAGAGTATTACAGTTTGTGTTGTGGCTTACAAATAGAAAATCAATTGCTTTTTATGTCAATCGTTGGTAGAAATAGAAATCAAAAAATGTGTTTTGTATTGAAATTCATATACTTTTGTATAATATATAATAATATTAGTGGCGACGGGTTTTCAATGGTCTTAACGATTAGTCTTATGCTTTGACAATGGATTTGTTGACCCAATGGTAGCGATCGTTGGGCTGGTATGCGAACGGCGACTGAAAGCCGTTGCCGGCGAACAGTTGTCGGGAGAAGTTATTATTGGTCTTCGCGTTGATCGTTTGGTTCGAGTAATTGTTGCTTTTGGTGTTGAGAGCCCTGTAGGCGCCGTTACCGCCGCCCACTGCGCGCGACTGCGGCGGCGATATCGGGTACTTGAGGAAGCCGTTGGTGTTCGGCGGACTCGACCCGTACTGAGTGGCGAACGGTGTGCCCGACCCGTAGAACGGGTAGAACGCCGACGACTGGGACGGCGAGCACGACGGGCCCATCGAGTAGTCGCTGAAGCCGTTCGCCGTATAACTATTGTACCCATTCTTCCGGTTCTGGCGCTTCTTCCGGGAGTTCAGTAAATCAAACGACGCCTTCAATGCAAACACACGTACAGTAAGTGACAATCAATTAGCGACTCCGGGAGTCTCAACGCATATCTCTCATGACATGCCATCAATGGGTCAGTCATTGTCTGCAATACCTGTTTATTCCTTTCGATGGTCTTCTGTTCGAGTTCTTCACAATTGATGGAATCGATGTAATTCTCTTTCCTCCCGTCCCTCAGTTTAGCGACAATACAATACGAGCCCTTATGCTCACCGAACCTGAAACACAACACCAAACATATAAACTCATCACGAAATCATCCAAAATCAATGATCGCGACATTCACTGCCCGGTGGCTCGCGTAGAGCACCGACACTATCGCACACCACAGCAGCACTACTGAGGGAGAGATACCGACCTACAGGTGACTTCGTTGGGGTCGACCCATAGGGTCAGCTCGAGAGGCAGTTTGAGGTCATCGTAGTTAATGCCGCACTCTTTGCACGCCTTCTCCACAATAGAGTCGCGACGGCTGTTCTCGTTGAAGCGGATGCACCGGAAGGCCTGACCCTTCATCGGCTTCTCGGGGAACCAATGGTTACGGAACTTCTCCTCTAATAATTGGCATAACTTTCGACTAAACGAGTCTATCGTCTCCCGGGTTATCACATCCGACGACTCGTTGCTTTTGGCGATGAGTCGCGTCAGGAAAGTGACCGCACTTTCGATCTCTTCTAACATCACTGCTTCCGATGATTATCAACCAAATGGTTGCTATTTATATGATAATTATATAACCTATTGATGCGATGATCCGTTATCAACATCAGAGACACCGCCGATTGGGGCACGACTTGGCGGACAGTGGGGGTAACCAGTGGTCAACAACACGTGTCAAACAGTGGTATCGACGCTATTATCGGCACAACGGATCAACTCTTCGTCGTGTGTTTGGCTCAACACCTGAAGACTTATTTATTATGTAATCAATGGGCGAATGAACGGTAGGTTTGATGGGATATATATCTGTCGGGAGAGAAACCAATGAACACGTGAGCGGACAGTCGTATCACACAATTCACACACAAATCAAATGAACAGTAATTGTGGTAAATATGAGACTAATTATGCGTTTGAATGGAGAAAGACCTGAAAAAATGGCAGAAATATTCAGCAAAAAATGCGTATAAAAAGCCATTATATTCGCTAAACACCACTATTTCCTGTGGAGTGCTGCCATTCGCAGGCCGTACACGACGTCTACAAAACGCACGCATAGACCGTACGAGCGATTGAGCCCAACCTATAAGCCTAACGCATAGCCCTATACACACTAATGGCTATTATGCGCTGTTTATGGCATAAAAGGCTANCTCGAAACCGATTCACGGATTCAGTTCCCGGCTAACTGTAAGGGCTCATTGAGAATCAAGTCGTTTGAAAGTAATGGGAACGACATCTATAAACATGTTGTAGAGCCTAATGAGACGTTTCGCTATAACATTGAATATATTTAGTATTCTTCAAAGCCTTTCGGTTTTATTCTTTGTCTGTCTCTTACTCTTGGGTTTCGGAGGCATTAAAGCATTGAAACGAAACAAAAATTAAATGTTTCTATCGTTTAATTATAGTTTTTTCTTTACTCCCCAACCCTATCACCCGTACAGACGGCTCTAATGACGTCCCAATCAGTCCAATAATCGGTGTCCTCATCGGCATTATAGCATCGCTTGTAATCATTTGTATAATTACTGTATTTATCATTAGATGTAAAGTTAATAGACATCAGTATAAAGGTATGGAAAATATAATATAATGTTTAAACAAACTTTCTCTCTATAGTAAACACACATATAATAATAAATCGATTAGTGAGTAATGAAACCCTGTTTATGAGACAAGAATATTCTGTAGTATTGATTTTTAAAAGTTACATATTCTATATTACTCAAAATTCAAAACATTGTGTTTAAATTTGATACATAATTTATACATAAATATAGTAATAGTGAAAGAAAATTGCTTAAATAATTTTTTTAGTTAACTGTAAGTTTAAATATTTTATTAAAATTCATAACTTCATAAATTCATAATAACGGTTAGGAGAATTTAAAATTATAATTCACAAAAATTCTCATTAGATTTTGAAGTCATTATTATATAAGTGTTGAGCACATGGAGAGAAAAGTGCGAACAAATTAATTATATTTTTATGCAAATAATTGATTAAAATATTTTCTTATACTTTTCTCTGCGTTCATAACGACTGGAAAACTACAGACGAAACAGAACTCAATGCAAAGTAAGTCAGAGATAAGATAA